ACTGCCCCCACCAGCAGAGTGCAAAAACTGTTTCAGCACCATGTACAGCACTCGGTAAGATTTAACCATTTGCTGAACATTGAACATTGGAAATAAATATACACTGTTGAAATTGATAAATATATAGTATGCACCCTTTAGAATAATAATGTCGAGGGTAATTGTGTAGCCTAAATCATCAATCTGCAACATGATGGATGTATATTTCCTATAGGTTGTAGAAGGTTATGCCTATTTTCTCACAATACCCTACTTATTACAATACCCTACTAAGCGTCAAAGAAAGCCATTCATTTGTCATAGAGCAGGAGTATTCAACTCTTACCAGGGGTCCGGAGCCTGCTGGTTTTCTGTTCTACCTGATAATAAATTGCACACACCTTGTGTCCCAGATCTAAATCAGTCCCTGATTAGAGGGGAACAATTAAAAAAAAGCAGTGGAAACTGGTTTCAAGTTTCAGAGTTGAGTTTGAGGGTCAAAGAGCATTGAACGCTTGGCGCGAATCCTTCAGCTCTGAAGTTTAGCCCGCTTTTAGAACCATGGACAGCAACACTCGCTCTATTAGGCAAGGAGGCCATACTCACAGAGCAAAATAAAGCAAATATGAGACCTCTCGAGTGGAGGGCTGTTTCTAAAGTAAGAGGAACTTAGAAAACAATATTATTTGACTGCGAGTTCAAATGAGCAATACATTTATCATTCAATAGAAAAATAGGCCCATTTATGTATAGATCTTACCTTCTCTTTGTTGGGTAATGTTTGATTCCTGCTAAAGGTGTCATTTCCGTTAATACTGATCAGTTCTGCATCTGCAGGTGGATATGAAGTGGGGAAAACCACTACGTCACTCTTCAGTGTGTCTGAGCTGAAACACACGTCATATTGCTGAGTAGATTTAGAGTAAGACCAGCTCCCGTCAGGGTGTGTGGTGATCATTGGGGCGCTGTACCTTCTGAAACTGTCATCTGTCCTGTGGCATTTTACAGCTATTAAACTGATGAGGCTCAGTAAAAATATCACTGACACCGAGGCAATGGCGATCAACAAATACAGGTTTAAATCAGAGAAGCTCTCCTCCTTTCTCGGCACATTCCTGAATTGAGTCTGAATTTCACCTGTACTTTCAACCACCGCTACGTCAATAGACACAGTCGCTGACAGTGAGGGTTCTCCGTTATCAGAAACCAACACGACCAACGGGTGAGTTTTCAGGTCATTGTCACTCATTCGCCTCTTAGTCCTTAGTTCCCCAGTGCTGGTTCCGATTCGGAAGAGGTTGGTTCCCTTGAGCTCAGAGATGTGATAAGAAAGCAGCGCATTGTAGCCAGAGTCGGCATCTACAGCCCTGATCTTGGCTACAAAGTAGCCCGCTTCAGCAGAATAGGGAATGTTCTCAGTGTTAACGGAGCCGTGTTCAGAATAGGGCGCGAGAATCCCAGGACTGTTGTCATTCTCATCCAGGATAAAAACGTTCACAGTCACGTTGCTGCTGAGAGGAGGAACACCAGAGTCTGTGGCCTGAACTATAAAATGGAACGTTTTGATCTCCTCATAGTTAAAAGACTGCAGGCTGACTATATCTCCAGTATCCGAGTTCATATTTACAGATGATGATATTGAAACACTTTTATCTAATAATGCATACGTAATCTTTGAGTTTTCTTCTGAATCTGGATCAAAAGCAGAAATCCTGTAAATGACGTCTCCTACCGGACTGTTCTCTTTCACATAAACATTAATCACGGGTTCTGAGAAGCGAGGAGCGTTATCATTCACATCAGAAACGTGTACAGTAATAACGCTGGTGCTGGAGAGAGGTGGGGTCCCTTCATCTGTAGCTGTGATGGTGACATTATACTGAGAAGCGCTCTCTCTGTCAAGAGGCCCATCGACCACTAAAGAATAATCGTTTTTAAAGTTTGACTTTAATTTAAAAGGAACAGACCCAATAATATTACAGTTGGTGAGGCTATTTCTACCACCATCTTTATCTGTCACTGTCACCAAGGCGACCACTGTCCCTATCTCAGCATCCTCCTTGACTGGACTCATGAGTGACGTTACTGAGATTTCTGGAGAATTGTCATTGACATCAATAACCTCAACTAATACTTTACAGTGGGTGCTACGGGGCGGAGTGCCTTTGTCTTTAGCTTGAACACGAATCTCAAAAGCGGAGTTTATCTCGTAATCTATTCTCCCCTTAACAGTAACTTCTCCAGTTTCAGAGTTAATGGTGAAAACATCCGGGGCATTTAAACTCCCGCGACCAATAAGAGAGTATTCTATTTCACTGTTAATTCCCTCATCTAAATCTTTGGCATTGAGTGCTGCAACAATTGTACCAAACGGCACGTTCTCAGTAACACGGAATTTGTAAAGCTGTTTGTTAAAAACTGGAATATTATCGTTAACGTCTTGCACATTGATAATTATAAGTAAAGTTCCGGATCTAGGAGGTTTTCCTCCATCTATAGCGGTCAGTGTGAGCTGGATAACGGGCTGTTTCTCTCGGTCTAAAGCTTTCTGCAGCACTAACTCAGCAGACACACTCTGCTCTCCACCGCTCTGTACATCTAGGGAGAAGTGTTCATTCGGGCTCAGCTTGTAGCTGTTTACCGAGTTACTGCCCGTATCTGCGTCATTCGCTATTGCTAGAGGATATCGCTCACCGGGAAAGGAAGATTCAGCTATGTTGAGTATATGCAATTCCTCGAGGAACGATGGTGCATTGTCATTGATGTCTAAAATATTCACATCAATACGGTGAAGAAGCATTGGATCGCTCAATATGGCCTGTATGTTAAGCCGACACGTTGCCGTATTCGGACAAAGCTCCTCTCTGTCTATCCTCTCGTTAACATACAGAATCCCCGTTTTCAAATTCGCCTCAAAATACCTCTTACTCTGACTCGATACAATCCTCAGACCCCTCGACTCCAGTTCCTGAACATTAAGGTTTAAATCCTTAGCGAGATTCCCCACAAACGTGCCTTTGTCCACCTCCTCTGAAACGGAGTAAGAGATCTGCGCTGCAGACCAGTCAAATAAACAAAGCAACGAGACGCACTGAATCCACATTTTTTCTCTTTGTCTTCGACGACCCATTGCTGCTTGTACAAAATGAATGAATCCAATCGAAAATAGTCATATATCCATGAAAACTAAAAAATCCGTTATAGAGATCCTGTACACAGCCCTGCCCTCTCCATCTCACCACCATTCGAGTGTTTCTGTTGACAAAGCTCTCGGAACTGATGACGCTAGTCTCTTTCTTATTCAGAGGAGTCATCATAGAATATCGGCAACCACATCAATTTCTGTGGTCTTTAGCGACACCATGTGCTAATGTTGTACATAGCCTATTTTACTCATCTAAAAGAAAATTGTATGCTATTTCAGTTGTTGTTATAATTTCACTTGTTAGAATACTGAAACAAACTCCAGTAGACCACATCGTATTGGATATTCACTCCCCAGATGCCTTTGTATTAAAATGAAAAACGTTATAGTCAATGCAAAACACAGGGAAAGTAGGTGAAGAAAAGTCAACCTAACATAATGAAATTAAAACTCAGATAGTCATGTTTTGAAAACAATGACAGAAGCCATAACAATCAAGAACGAATGAAGACGCACAAGGGACATTGATATTCAAAGCTAAAGGGGTTAACAGTGTGATACTGTCAAGATTGCTGAAACACTTCTCTAACGTACATTTCCACTTTGCATCTATCGTATCATCTATCGCATTACACCAGTGACAAGTATTCATCTAAAAAGAACACTGCCCCTCATCAACAATGAGCAAGAACGGTTTCAGCACCATGCACAGCACATAGTAAGATTTCAGCTTTGGAAGCAAGTAGACACGGTTGAAATTGAAAAATATACAGCACGGACCTTTAGGCTGACGATGTCAATGGCAATTGTTTAGCCTATACGATCAAGCTGCAACATGATGTAACTGTATATTTCCCAGTTAAATAAAGGTTAAATAAAACATTTAAAAAATAGTTCCCATTCGTTGTAAACCGTCCTGGCTATTTTCTCAAAATACTCTATATACAACTTTGCTGGGATTTGACATATTAAACATTCCTGAATCGCAACACTATTGTACAGCTTCATAGAAAGCTATTCATACGTCATTGGCGCGAATCTTCAGCTTTGAAGTTTAGCTCGCTTTCAGAACCATGGACAGCAACACTCGCTCTATCAAGTCAGCAGGCCATGGTTCCCCAACTGGCGGCCTGCGGGCCGAATTTGGCCCGCGGGTGGTTTTATTTGGCCCTTCAAGTTTTCTGAGCAAAAAAAAAAGTTTTTTTGTGTGTTTTTTTTTACATATTCATTGTTGGACATAAAATATTGTCAAAACACCAGGAAATGAGTTCCAAGTGATTTTAATTTAAGAAATCTGTTCCCAAGTATTCCCACACATATTAGAGAGACACGTGATTGTATACAAATATAAGCAAGGTTTGAAATGATTATGTTTTAGTTAAACATTGTTTATGTTTGGGCTTCTTGCAGTCAATATGCAATCTACAAATTATTTGTAATCATAAACTGGGTGGTTGAGCCCTGAATGCTGATTGGCTGACAGCCGTGGTATACCACGGGAATGACAAAACTTTTATTTTTACTGCTCTAATTACGTTGGTAACCAGTTTATAATAGCAATAAGGCACCTTGGGGGTTTGTGGTATATGGCCAATATACCACATCTAACGCCTGTATCCAGGCACTTCGCGTTGCGTCATGCATAAGAACAGCCCTTAGCCGTGGTATATTGGCAATATACCACAACCCCTCAGGCCTTATTGCTTAATTATGTTCCGGCCCCCAAACCATCCTCTCAAGAAAAAAAATCAGCCCGCGGCTGAATCTAGTTGATGATCCCTGCAGTAGGCCATATGCAGAGCATAAAACAAATCTAATGTGACAACTCTTCGAGTGGATGTCTGATTTCAAGGTAAGAGAAACATAGAAAAGCAAATTATTTGAATGCAAGGAGTTCAATAGATGAATACAGATACTGTATAATTCAATAGAAAAATGGTCCCGGTTATTTATAAATAATAATAATATAATAATAATATGCCATTTAGCAGACACTTTTATCCAAAGTGACTTACAGTCATGTGTGCATACATTTTTACTTATGGGTGGCCCCGGGGATCAAACCCACTACCCTGGCGTTACAAGCGCCATGCTCTACCAATTGAGCTACAGAGAACCACACAAATCTTACCTTCTCGTTGTTGGGTAATGTCTGAGTCCTGTTTAACGTGTCATTTCCATTAATACTGATCAGTTCTGCATCTGCAGGTGGATACGGCGCAGGGAAAACCACTACGTCACTCTTCAGTGTGTCTGAGCTGAAACACACGTCATACTGCTGAGTAGATTTAGAGTAAGACCAGCTCCCGTCAGGATGTGTGGTGATCATTGGGGCGCTGTACCTTCTGAAACTGTCGTCTGTCCCGTGGCATTTTACAGCTATTAAACTGATGAGGCTCAGTAAAAATATCACTGACACCGAGGCAATGGCGATCAACAAATACAGATTTAAATCTGAGAAGTTGTCCTCCTTTCTCGGCATATTTCTGAATTGAGTCTGGATTTCACCTGTACTTTCAACCACTACTACGTCAATAGACACAGTCGCTGACAGTGAGGGTTCTCCATTATCAGAAACCAACACGACCAACGGGTGAGTTTTCAGGTCATTGTCACTCATTCGCCTCTTAGTCCTTAGTTCCCCAGTGCTGGTTCCGATTCGGAAGAGGTTGGTTCCCTTGGGCTCAGAGATGTGATAAGAAAGCAGCGCATTGTAGCCAGAGTCGGCATCTACAGCCCTGATCTTGGCCACAAAGTAGCCCGCTTCAGCAGAATAGGGAATGTTCTCAGTGTTAACGGAGCCGTGTTCAGAATAGGGCGCGAGAATCCCTGGACTGTTGTCATTCTCATCCAGGATAAAAACGTTCACAGTCACCTTGCTGCTGAGAGGAGGAACACCAGAGTCTGTGGCCTGAACTATAAAATTGAAAGTTTTTATCTCCTCATAGTTAAAAGACTGCAGGCTGACTATATCTCCAGTATCGGGTTCTGGGAAGCGAGGAGCGTTGTCATTCACATCAGAAACGTGTACAGTAATAACGCTGGTGCTGGAGAGAGGCGGGGTCCCTTCATCCGTAGCTGTGATTGTGACATTATACTGAGAAGCACTCTCTCTGTCCAGAGGCCCATCGACCACTAACGAATAATAGTTTTTATAGTTGGACTTTAATTTAAAAGGAACAGCCCCAATAATTGTAGAGTTAGTTAAGCAATCAATAACTTCTACTAACACTTTAGAATAACCACTGCGGGGCGAGGAGCCTTGGTCCGTTGCTTGTACACGTATTTCATATGCTGCGTTTTTCTCGTGGTCCAAATTCCCTTTGACAGTAAGTTCACCTGTGTCTTGATTCAGAGCGAACATATCAGCAGGATTTATATTCCCCCGCTCAATAAATGAATACTTAAGTTTACCGTTGATTCCGTCATCTAAATCAGTTGCACTGAGTGTTACCACTGTAGTCCCAAAAGGCACAATCTCAGGCACACTGGCCTTATATAGCGGCTTGCTAAATATGGGTGAATTATCATTAACATCTATGACATTCACAACTATAGGCAACGTCCCGGATCTTGGAGGTTTTCCTCCATCTAAAGCGGTCAGTGTGAGCTGGATAACGGGCTGTTTCTCTCGGTCTAAAACTTTCTGCAACACTAACTCAGCAGATACACTCTGCTGTCCGCCGCTCTGTACATCCAGGGAGAAGTGTTCATTCGGGCTCAGCTTGTAGATGTTTACCGAGTTACTGCCCGTATCTGCGTCATTCGCTATGGGAAGTGGATATCGCTCCCCAGGGTATGAAGATTCAGATATGTTAAACGTAGAAACCTTTTTATTAAATGACGGAGAATGGTCATTGATGTCTAAAATAGTCACCTCAATACGGTGGAGAAGCATAGGATCGCTCAATATGGCCTCTATATTTAATGAGCACTTTAGCGTACTCGGACAAAGCTCCTCTCGGTCTATTCTCTCGTTAACGAATAGAATCCCTGATTTCAAATTAGCCTCGAAATACCTCTTACTATTTCCTGATTCAATCCTTAGACTCCTCGACTCCAGTTCCTGAACATTAAGGTTTAAATCCTTAGCGAGATTCCCCACAAACGTGCCTTTGTCCATCTCCTCTGAAACGGAGTAAGAGATCTGAGCTGCAGACCAGTCAAATAAATAAAGCAACGCGACGCACTGAATCCAAACGCTTTCTCTTTGTCTTCGACGACCCATCGCTGCTTGTACAAAATGAATTAATCCAATAGAAAATAGTTACATATCCATGAAATCTAAAAATCCGTTAGAGAGATCCTGTACAGAGCCCTGCCCTCTCCGTCTCACCACCATTCGAGTGCATCTCTTCACAAAGCTATCCGAGCTGATGACGCAATTGTCCTTCTTATTCAGAGGAGTCATAGAATATCAGCGACTACATTCATTTATGTGGTCTATAGTGACACCATGTGTTACTGTTAGACATAGCATATATTACCCATGTAAAAGAAGAATGTTTACTATTTGACTTTTTAGAATACTGAGAGAAACTCCAGAAGACAACCTCTCGTTGGATATGTACTACCCGAAAGGACTATGTATTTAAATTGATTAATGTCCAACACAAAACCCAGGGAATGTAGCAAAAGAAACAACCTCATCTAATGAAATAAATATTCACATCCTCATGTTCTGATGAGGACGACAGAAACAATAACCATTAAGGACGAGTAACGAGGAGGAAAGCCACACAAGGGACATTGATATATGAAAAGCTAAAGGGGTTAACATTGTAATGCTCTCAAGACAGCAAAACCAAATTATCTAAAGCAAATTACCACGTTGCATCAATTCCAATACACCAGTAACAAGTATCAATCTAAAAATAACAGTCCCTCGATAAGCAGTGAGCAAAAATGGTTTCAGCACCACGGACAGCACTCGGTAAGATTTAAACGCTTGCTGAACATTGGAAACAAATATACACTGTTGAAATGGATAAAGATATAGTATGCACAATTTAGGCTTATAATGTCGAGGGTAATTGCGTCCCATAGCGTATATCATCAATCTGTCACATTATGTGTATATTTCTCATACGTTCCTGCTTACGTCCTCACAAAACATACAACTTTGCTGAGAATTTACATATTCATGAAGCGCAAAACTTTTGTACATAGAAAGCCATTCACACGTCAAAGGATATTAAATCTACAGCTCTGAAGTTTGCCGCGCTTTTAGAACCATGGACATCAACACTCGTGCTATCACGCAAGGAGGCCATACGCATGGTGCAAAACAAAGATAATGTGACAACTATCGAGTGGACGGTTGTTTTTGAAGTAAGAGAAACGTAGAAACAATATTATTTGACTGCAAGCAGTTCAAATGAGTAACACAGGTATTATGCAATTGATAAATCAGTCCATTTGGGTATAGATCTTACCTTCTCTTTGTTGGGTAATGTTTGAGTCCTGCTAAAGGTGTCATTTCCGTTAATACTGATCAGTTCTGCATCTGCAGGTGGATATGGAGCAGGGAAAACCATTACGTCACTCTTCAGTGTGTCTGAGCTGAAACACACGTCATATTGCTGAGTAGATTTAGAGTAAGACCAGCTCCCGTCAGGGTGTGTGGTGATCATTGGGGCGCTGTACCTTCTGAAACTGTCGTCTGTCCTGTGGCATTTTACAGCTATTAAACTGATGAGGCTCAGTAAAAATATCACTGATACCGAGGCAATGGCGATCAGCAAATACAGGTTTAAATCAGAGAAGCTTTCCTCCTTTCTCGGCACATTTCTGAATTGAGTCTGGATTTCACCTGTACTTTCAACCACCACTACGTCAATAGACACAGTCGCTGACAGTGAGGGTTCTCCGTTATCAGAAACCAACACGACCAACGGGTGAGTTTTCAGGTCATTGTCACTCATTCGCCTCTTGGTCCTTAGTTCCCCGGTGCTGGTTCCGATTCGGAAGAGGTTGGTTCCCTTGGGCTCAGAGATGTGATAAGAAAGCAGCGCATTGTAGCCAGAGTCGGCGTCTACAGCCCTGATCTTGGCCACAAAGTAGCCCGCTTCAGCAGAATAGGGAATGTTCTCAGTGTTAACTGAGCCGTGTTCAGAATAGGGCGCGAGAATCCCAGGACTGTTGTCATTCTCATCCAGGATAAAAACGTTCACAGTCACGTTGCTGCTGAGAGGAGGAACACCAGAGTCTGTGGCCTTAACTAGAAACTGGAAAGTTTTGATCTCCTCATAGTTAAAAGACTGCAGGCTGACTATATCTCCGGTATCCGAGTTTATATTTACAGATGATGATATTGAAACACTTTTATCTAATAATGTATACCTAATCTTTGCGTTTTCTTCTGAATCTGGATCAAAAGCAGAAATCGTATAAATAATGTCTCCTACTGGGCTGTTCTCCTTCACATAAACATTACTCACGGGTTCTGGGAAGCGAGGAGCGTTGTCATTCACATCAGAAACGTGTACAGTAATAACGCTGGTGCTGGAGAGAGGTGGGGTCCCTTCATCCGTAGCTGTGATGGTGACATTATACTGAGAAGCACTCTCTCTGTCAAGAGGCCCATCAACCACTAAAGAATAATCGTTTTTATAATTCGATTTTAGTTTAAAAGGAACAGACCTAGTAAGTTTACAGTTGGTGATGCCATTGTTACTACCATCTTTATCTGTCACTGTCACTAAGGCGACCACTGTCCCTATCTCAGCATCCTCTTTCAATGGACTCATGAGTGACGTTACTGAGATTTCTGGAGTATTGTCATTGACATCAATAACTTCAACTAACACTTTACCGTGTGCACTACGACGAGAATGCCCTTGATCGGTCGCTTGAACTCGAATTTCGTATGCAGGACTTTCTTCATAATCCAAATTCCCTTTGATTGTAATTTCACCCGTGTCTGAATTGATGCTAAACATAATGGATGGGTCCAAATTACCCCGTTTTAAGAAAGAGTACACTATTTTACTATTTACGCCCTCGTCTAAATCTGTTGCATTGAGAGTTAGTATAGCTGTCCCAAAAAGTGCATTTTCATGGACATGTACTTTGTAAAGCGTCCGGGAAAAAATTGGAGAATTATCATTGACATCTATTACGTGAACAATGATCTGTGAAGTTCCGGATCTAGGAGGTTTTCCTCCATCTATAGCGGTCAGTGTGAGCTGGATAACGGGCTGTTTCTCTCGGTCTAAAGCTTTCTGCAGCACTAACTCAGCAGACACACTCTGCTCTCCACCGCTCTGTACATCCAGGGAGAAGTGTTCATTCGGGCTCAGCTTGTAGCTGTTTACCGAGTTACTGCCCGTATCTGCGTCATTCGCTATTGGTAGCAGGTATCTCTCACCAGGAGAAGCTAATTCAGTAACATTCAAACGATGTATTTTTTCAAGAAAAGACGGCGCATTGTCGTTGATATCAATAATATTCACCTCAATGCGGTGGAGAAGCATGGGGTGGCTCAATATGGCCTGTATATTTAAAGAGCACTTTACCTTATTCGGACAAAGCTCCTCTCTGTCTATCCTCTCATTAACGAATAGAATCCCCGTTTTCAAATTCGCCTCAAAATATCTCTTACTCTGTCCTGATACAATCCTTAAACCCCTAGACTCAAGTTCCTGAACGTTAAGGTTTAAATCCTTAGCGAGATTCCCAACAAACGTGCCTTTGTCCACCTCCTCTGAAACGGAGTAAGAGATCTGCGCTGCAGACCAGTCAAATAAACAAAGCAACGAGACGCACTGAATCCAAACGCTTTCTCTTTGTCTTCGACGACCCATCGCTGCTTGTACAAAACAACTAATTATTCCAGTAGAATATATTCAAATATCCATAAATCCTACAAAATCTGTAAGAGAGATCCTGTACTAGCCTCCAGCCCAGCCCTCTCCGTCTCACCACCATTCGAGTGTTTCTCTTCACAAAGTGGTCTGGACCGATGTCCCTAGTATCTTTCTCATTCAGAGAGGAGGAGTCATAGAATATCCGCGACGACATTAATTTCTGTGGTCTATAGCGACACCATGTGCTAATGTTGTACATAACCTATATGACTAATGTAAAATAAGACCGTAGGCCTATTATTTCACTTGTTTTTATAATACTATGATAAACTCCAATATTGTGTTGGACATTTACTACCCGAAATGCCTGTGTATTAAAAGGACACACGTTCTAGTCAATGCAAAACACAGGGAAAGTAGCTGAAGAAAAGTAAACATAACATGAAATAAATGTTCAGATAGTCATGTTTTGATAACAATGACAGAAGCCATAACAAAGACACACATTGACATACAAATCTCAAGGAGTTAACAGTGTGATGCTGTCAAGATTTCTAACACAATTTTCTAACGTACATTTCCACTTTGCATCTATTCCATTACACGAGTGACAAGAATCCATCTACACAACAACGCTTCCCCTCATGTAGCTCAGCTGGTAGAGCACGGCGCTTGTAACGCCAGGGTAGTGGGTTCGATCCCCGGGACCACCCATACACAAAAATGTATGCATGCATGACTGTACGTCGCTTTGGATAAAAGCGTCTGCTAAATGGCATATTATTAGCAAAGAGCAAGAACGATTTAAGCACCATGGACAGCACTTGGTAATATTTTACCTTTGGGAAGAAATATACAAGTTGAAATGGATAAATATACAGCACGGACCTTTAGGCTGAAAACGTCAATGGTAAACGTGTAGCCTATATGATAAAGCTGCAACATGATGTAACTGTATATTTCCCAGACGTTGTATACGATCCTGTCTATATTCTCAAAATACCCTACATACAACTTTGTTGTGATTTGACATATTACACATTCCTAAAGCGCAACACTACTGTACAGTGTCATAGAACTCCATTAATATGTTATAGAGCATTAAACGATTCTTTAGCTCTGAAGTTTAGCGAGCTTTCAGAACCACGGACAGCAACACTCGCTCTATGAAGCCAGAAGGCCATACGCACAAAGCCAATGTAACAACTCTCGACTGGATGGATGGATGGCTGTTTTCAAGGTAAGAGTAACTTAGAAAACAATATTCTTTGACTGCAAGTAGTTCAATGGAGTAATACAGATATAATTCAATAGAAAAATAGGCACGTTGATTTATAGATCTTACCTTCTCTTTGTTGGGTAATGTTTGATTCCTGCTAAAGGTGTCATTTCCGTTAATACTGATCAGTTCTGCATCTGCAGGTGGATATGGAGCGGGGAAAACCACTACGTCACTCTTCATTGTGTCTGAGCTGAAACACACGTCATACTGCTCAGTAGATTTAGAGTAGGACCAGCTCCCGTCAGGGTGTGTGGTGATCATTGGGGCGCTGTACCTTCTGAAACTGTCGTCTGTCCTGTGGCATTTTACAGCTATTAAACTGATGAGGCTCAGTAAAAATATCACTGATACCGAGGCAATGGCGATCAGCAAATACAGGTTTAAATCAGAGAAGTTATCCTCCTTTCTCGGCACATTTCTGAATTGAGTCTGGATTTCACCTGTACTTTCAACCACTACTACGTCAATAGACACAGTCGCTGACAGTGAGGGTTCTCCGTTATCAGAAACCAACACGACCAATGGGTGAGTTTTCAGGTCATTGTCACTCATTCGCCTCTTAGTCCTTAGTTCCCCGCTGCTGGTTCCGATTCGGAAGAGGTTGGTTCCCTTGGGCTCAGAGATGTGATAAGAAAGCAGCGCATTGTAGCCAGAGTCGGCATCTACAGCCCTGATATTGGCCACAAAGTAGCCCGCTTCAGCAGAATAGGGAATGTTCTCAGTGTTAACGGAGCCGTGTTCAGAATAGGGGGCTAGAATCCCAGGACTGTTGTCATTCTCATCCAGGATAAAAACGTTCACAGTCTCGTTACTGCTGAGAGGAGGAACACCATAGTCTGTGGCCTGAACTATAAAATGGAACGTTTTGATATCCTCATAGTTAAAAGACTGCAGGCTGACTATATCTCCAGTATCCAAGTTTATATTTACAGATGATGATATTGAAACACTTTTATCTAATAATGTATACGTAATCTTTGAGTTTTCTTCTGAATCTGGATCAAAAGCAGAAATCGTGTAAATGACGTCTCCTACCGGACTGTTCTCTTTCACATAAACATTAATCACGGGCTCTGAGAAGCGAGGAGCGTTGTCATTCACATCAGAAACATGTACAGTAATGACGCTGGTGCTGGAGAGAGGCGGGGTCCCTTCATCCGTAGCTGTGATGGTAACATTATACTGAGAAGCGCTCTCTCTGTCCAGAGGCCCATCGACCACTAACGAATAATAGTTTTTGTAGTTCGAATTCAATTTGAAAGGAACAGACCTAACAAGCTTACAGTTGGTGAGTCCGTTTTTACCTCCGTCTTTATCAGTTACTGTCACCAAGGCGACCACTGTCCCTATCTCAGCATCCTCTTTGACTGGGCTGATGAGTGACGTAACTGATATTTCAGGGGCATTGTCATTGACATCAATAACTTCTACTAACACTTTGCAATACGTTTTCCGTGAGGAGTGCCCTCGGTCCATCGCCTCAGCACGAATTTCATAGGCGGCAGTTACCTCATGGTCTATGGTTTTCTTAACAGTTATTATCCCTGTATCTGAATTTATGTCAAATGTATTGGAGTGGTTTAAACTACCTCGACCTATTAGTGAGTACATAATCTCGCCATTTACGCCCTCGTCAAGATCCGTCGCGGTGAGAGTTATTATTGCTGTACCAGATGAAACGTTTTCAGGAACACTAACCTTATAAAGTGGTTTGCTAAATGAAGGTGCATTATCATTAACGTCTTCCACATTAACTGTGATCAGTAATGTCCCGGATCTAGGAGGTTTTCCTCCATCTATAGCGGTCAGTGTGAGCTGGATAACGGGCTGTTTCTCTCTGTCTAAAGCTTTCTGCAGCACTAACTCAGCAGACACACTCTGCTCTCCACCGCTCTGTACATCCAGGGAGAAGTATTCATTCGGGCTAAGCTTGTAACTGTTTACCGAGTTACTGCCCGTATCTGCGTCATTCGCTATCGGTAGAGGATATCGCTCACCTGAAAATGCTGCCTCGGTGATATTAAGCATATGTATTCTTTCTAGGAAAGATGGTGCATTATCATTTATGTCTAAAATATTAATTTCAACGCGGTGGAGCTGGGAAGGATCGCTCAATATGGCCTCTATATTTAAAGAGCACTTTACCGTATTTGGACAAAGCTCCTCTCTATCTATCCTCTCGTTAACGAACAGTATCCCTGTTTTCAAATTCTCTTCGAAATACCTTTTATTATAACCAGATATAATCCTTAGACCCCTCGACTCCAGTTCCTGAACATTAAGGTTTAAATCCTTAGCAAGATTCCCCACAAACGTGCCTTTGTCCAACTCCTCTGAAACCGAGTAAGAGATCTGCGTTGCAGACCAGTCAAATAAACAAAGCAACGCTACGCACTGAATCCAAACGCTTTCTCTTTGTCTTAGATGACCCATCGCTGTTTGAGCAAAACAACTGATTCCAAATAACAGTCATTTAACCATTAAAACTCTCGAATATTCCGTTATATGCCAGAGATCCTGGACAGCCAAGCCCTCTCCGTCTCATCACTGTTCGAGTGGTTCTCTTCACAAAGCGCTCGAGACTGGTGACTGACGCAGTTTTTTGTTTTTTTCTGTAAAAAAAAATGGAGACTTAGAGTCTTAGGATATTAATGACTTATCTTCTATCTGTGGTCTATAGCGACACCATGTGTTACTTTTTTATTTGATTTCATTTTATATACCATAGCATGACTTATTGTGATAGTAAGCAAATATTAAAAGATAACTGGGAGAAACCAGTGAGCAACGTTGACTCAAATGTTAATCAATCCCCTCATGCATCAAATAGTTCAACTTGAATACACGCACTCATGATAAGTAGTACAGATGTGGGAACAAACACTGGGGAACACTTCAAATGAGTATTGATAGTCGTACGCAGTAGTGGAGATAAAAGTGGACAGGACCAAAGCTTTCGAGAAGTCAAAAAAACAAATAAAGTATGATCGACTTAAAAGAAAAGGAATCACAAAATATACAAACGGATTGTTAGATAAAAAATGCAAATTTTTCAAAACAAAATTCCTAAATCACTTGAATGATTTCATTACACTTTCAACAATGAAACGCATGTATCAAAATAGGCCTCTGCCCCTGAAAAACATTTCAGCACCTTGGACAGATTCCGTGGTTTCACAGCAATGTCCAGACAACAATTTGTTTGATGTCAAGCCAATATATTTTACATGTTCTCAAACAATATATTACAATACAGCTACTACCAAATATACTAACTGATCTCATGATACCATATAACATTTTGCAAAATGTCTGTCAACTGCTACAATATGGAACGTTCTTCCGTTTTGAGACACAAAAACAAAATATGGAGTGCATTACTCTTACCTTCTCTTTGGTCGGTAATGTCTGAGTCCTGTTAAACGTGTCATTTCCATTAATACTGATCAGCTCTCCATCTGCAGCTGGATATGGAGCGGGGAAAACCACTACGTCACTCTTCAGTGTGTCTGAACTGAAACACACGTCATACTGCTGAGTAGATTTAGAGTAGGACCAGCTCCCGTCAGGGTGTGTGGTGATCATTGGGGCGCTGTACCTTCTGAAACTGTCATCTGTCCTGTGGCATTTTACAGCTATTAAACTGATGAGGCTCAGTAAAAATATCACTGACACCGAGGCAATGGCGATCAGCAAATACAGGTTTAAATCAGAGAAGTTCTCCTCCTTTCTCGGCACATTTCTGAATTGAGTCTGGATTTCACCTGTACTTTCAACCACCACTACGTCAATAGACACAGTCGCTGACAGTGAGGGTTCTCCATTATCAGAAACCAACACGACCAACGGGTGAGTTTTCAGGTCATTGTCACTCATTCGCCTCTTGGTCCTTAGTTCCCCGGTGCTGGTTCCAATTCGGAAGAGGTTGGTTCCCTTGGGCTCAGAGATGTGATAAGAAAGCAGCGCATTGTAGCCAGAGTCGGCATCTACAGCCCTGATCTTGGCCACAAAGTAGCCCGCTTCAACAGAATAGGGAATGTTCTCAGTGTTAACGCTGCCATGCTGCGAATAGGGCGCGAAAATCCCAGGACTGTTGTCATTCTCATCCAGGATAAAAACGTTCACAGTCACGTTGCTGCTGAGTGGGGGAACACCAGAGTCTGTGGCCTGAACTTTAAACTGGAAAGTTTTGATCTCCTCATAGTTAAAAGACTGCAGACTCACTATTTCTCCTGTATTCGATATTATATTTACAGATGATGATATTGAAACACTTTTATCTAATAACGAATAGGTCGTCTTTGCATTTTCATCTGAATCTGGATCAAAAGCAGACGTCGTATAAATTACGTCTCCTACCGGACTGTTCTCTTTCACATAAACATTAATCACGGGTTCTGAGAAGCGAGGAGCGTTGTCATTCACATCAGAAACGTGTACAGTAATAACGCTGGTGCTGGAGAGAGGTGGGGTCCCTTCATCTGTAGCTGTGATGGTGACATTGTACTGAGAAGCACTCTCTCTGTCAAGAGGCCCATCAACCACTAAGGAATAATAGTTTTTGTAGTTCGATTTCAATTTAAAAGGAACAGACCCAATAAGCTTACAGGTAGTGAGGCCGTTTTTACCCCCATCTTTATCAGTTACTGTCACCAAGGCGACCACGGTCCCTATCTCAGCATCCTCTTTGACTGGGCTCATGAGTGACGTCACCGATATTTCAGGGACATTGTCATTGACATCAATAACTTCTACTAACACTTTACCGTGTGCACTACGGGGGGAGGAGCCTTGGTCTGTCGCCTGCACTCGAATTTCATATGCAGGACTTTCCTCATAATCCAAATTACCCTTGACCATAATTTCACCTGTTTCTGAATTTATATCAAATAAAACAGACGGGTTCAAGTTCGCACGTTTGATAAAGGAATATACAATCTTACCATTACACCCTTCATCTAAATCTGTGGCAATAAGTTGTATTACCTCAGTTCCAAACGGAGCATTTTCATTTACACGGACCTTATACAGCGGTTTGCTAAAAGTGGGAGAATTATCATTTGCATCAATCACATTGACAATGACTTGCAATGTCCCGGATCTAGGAGGTTTTCCTCCATCTATAGCGGTCAGTGTGAGCTGGATAACGGGCTGTTTCTCTCGGTCTAAAGCTTTCTGCAGCACTAACTCAGCAGACACACTCTGCTCTCCACCGCTCTGTACATCTAGGGAGAAGTATTCATTCGGGCTCAGCTTGTAGCTGTTTATGGAGTTACTGCCCATATCTGAATCAACTGCGAGAGGAAGCAAATATCGTTCGCCCTTTGATGATGACTCAGATATATTAAATGTGTGCAATGTTTCAACAAAGGCTGGCGCATTGTCATTTATGTCTAAAATATTCACCTGTATTCGGTGGAGAAGCATAGGGTGGCTCAATATGGCCTCTATGTTTAAAGCGCACTTTACTGCATTCGGACAAAGCTCCTCTCTGTCTATTCTCTCGTTAACATACAGATTCCCCGTTTTCAAATTAGCCTCGAAATACCTCTTACTATGTCCCGATACAATCCTCAGACCCCTCGACCCCAGTTCCTGAACATTAAGGTTTAAATCCTTAGCGAGATTCCCCACAAACGTGCCTTTTTCCACTTCCTCTGAAACGGAGTAAGAGATCTGCGCTGCAGACCAGTCAAATAAACAAAGCAACGCGATGCACTGAATCCAAACGTTTTCTCTTTGTCTTCGACGACTCATTGCTGCTTGTACAAAACAAATTATTCCAGAGTTAAATTCACATAGGGTCTCTCCATTAAAACCACAAAAATCCGTTATGATAGAGATCCACACAACCCATCCATCCTTCTCACGAACATTCGAGTGTTTCTCATGACAATGCGCTCGGGACTGGTGTCGATTTTCTTGTTTTATTCAGAGGAGGAGTCTTGGATTATCAGCGACTTCTCTCAGATCTGTGGTCTATAGCGACACCATGTGTTATTTTATGATTTATTTCATTGATATCACTGACTTTTGTCATAGTAGTAAGTAATTGCCAAATCTGAAACAGCCACGTGATAGAGTCCAATTTGAATGCAGGTGTTCCTGATGAGAACTGCAAAATGTGAAGGGACAAACACTGGGGAACATTTAAAATGACTGTACTTAGTCAGGTAGAAATAGTGGTGATAAAGGTTGGCAATAAGGACATCTGCCAAGAGGTCAAGAAACCAATCACAGTATTGATCGCCTATATAGAAAACTGCCAGATGTCATGTTCAAGGGGGAGACAAGCAGAGAGATCAAAATATACAATCAAATTCCACTTTCAATAAAGAATAGCAACGATCCAAATAGGCCTTTACCACACAAAACATAAGAACGATAACCGTTTCAGCACCATGGACAGAGACATCGCTTTCACGGAGAGGTTATTTTGCAGATTGTCTTGACAATTTATGCTAATATATATTCTTATACGAAATAAAAACTAAATTGACCATGAAAACACATGTATCATACCTCTGAATGAAACATATTTAAAAATTACTCAAGTGATTTACACTTACCTCTTTGTTGGGTAATGTTTGAGTCCTGTTAAAGGTGTCATTTCCATTAATACTGATCAGTTCTGCATCTGCAGGTGGATACGGCGCAGGGACAACCACTACGTCACTCTTCAGTGTGTCTGAGCTGAAACACACGTCATACTGCTGAGTAGATTTAGAGTAAGACCAGCTCCCGTCAGGGTGTGTGGTGATCATTGGGGCGCTGTACCTTCTGAAACTGTCATCTGTCCTGTGGCATTTTACAGCTATTAAACTGATGAGGCTCAGTAAAAATATCACTGACACCGAGGCAATGGCGATCAGCAAATACAGGTTTAAATCAGAGAAGCTCTCCTCCTTTCTCGGCACATTTCTGAATTGAGTCTGAATTTCACCTGTACTTTCAATCACCACTACGTCAATAGACACAGTCGCAGACAGTGAGGGTTCTCCGTTATCAGAAACCAACACGACCAACGGGTGAGTTTTCAGGTCATTGTCACTCATTCGCCTCTTAGTCCTTAGTTCCCCGGTGCTGGTTCCAATTCGGAAGAGGTTGGTTCCCTTGGGCTCAGAGATGTGATAAGAAAGCAGCGCATTGTAGCCAGAGTCGGCGTCTACAGCTCTGACCTTGGCCACAAAGTAGCCCGCTTCAGCAGAATATGGAATGTTCTCAGTGTTAACGGAGCCGTGTTCAGAATAGGGCGCGAGAATCCCAGGACTGTTGTCATTCTCATCCAGGATAAAAACGTTCACAGTCACGTTGCTGCTGAGAGGAGGAACACCAGAGTCTGTGGCCTGAATTTTAAAACAGAACGTTTTGATCTCCTCATAGTTAAAAGACTGCAGACTGACTATATCTCCAGTCACTGAGTTTATATTGACTATTGTAGACAGCGGCACTGGTTTGGTGTTACTCTCTAAGAATGAGTAGGTCACCTGTCCATTTTCATTGACGTCAGAATCAAGCGCAGACACGGTTTTAATGACATCTCCTACTGGACTGTTCTCTTTCACATAAACATTAATCACGTGTTCTGAGAAGCGAGGAGCGTTGTCATTCACATCAGAAACGTGTACAGTAATAACGCTGGTGCTGGAGAGAGGCGGGGTCCCTTCATCTGTAGCTGTGATGGTAACGTTATACTGAGATGTGCTCTCTCTGTCAAGAGTCCCATCAACCACTAACGAATAATAGTTGTTATAATTTGTCTCCAATTTAAAAGGGACCTTATTTTCGACCTTACAATGTACAACCCCGTTTTTGCCGCCATCTTTATCGAAGACTGACACGAGAGCAATGGCAGTGCCCACCTTAGCGTCCTCCTTCACTGTTTCTAAGAGTGACGTCACAGTGATATCAGGCGCATTGTCGTTGAGGTCCACCACTTCTACCAACACTTTACAGTGAGCCGCCATCGGGGGCTGGCCTTTGTCACTCACCTGCGCACGGATCTCAAAGGCTTTTTTCTCCTCAAAGTCAATATTGTTTTTTACTGTAATAACGCCAGTGGTAGAGTCAATTTGAAATATATCTAAAATATAATCTTGGTCTTTTTTATTAAAAGAAAATATGATCTCGCTGTTTGTGCCCTCATCAACGTCTGTAGCATTTAGTGTGATGATGGTAGTACCAATTGGCACATTCTCAGTGATACGAGTCTTGTACAAAGAACTGCTAAAAACAGGAGGATTGTCATTGCTGTCTAAAACATTGATTATAATCTGTGACTTGCCAGACTTCGGTGGATTTCCTCCATCTTCCGCGGTCAGTGTGAGCTGAATAATAGGCTGTTTCTCTCGGTCTAAAGCTTTCTGCAGCACTAACTCAGCAGACACACTCTCTCCTTTGTGTGAAGCGATAGAAAAGTATTCATTTGTGCTCAGTTTATATAAGTTTATATCATTTTTTCCTACATCAGTGTCGTATGCTGATAGTAAAGGAAACCTCGCCCCAGGTGAAGTGTTCTCGGGGATATCAACAGTTTGTGATTTCGCACTAAACGATGGAGCATGATCATTCACATCTATAATATTAATTTCTAGACGGTAAAGTTTCAACGGATTGTTTATAACCGCCTCTACACTGACTGTACATTTAAGATCCGTCTCACAGAGCTCCTCTCTGTCTATTCTCTCAATCACATAGAGAACACCAGTCTTTAGATTTACCTCGAAATACTTTCTCTTGGACCCGGTGACAATCTGAAACATGCGTGACTCCAAATCCTGGACATTGAGGTTTAGATCCTTAGCGATATTTCCCACAGAAGTCCCCAGGTTTACTTCCTCTGAGACGGAGTAGGAGAGCTGCCCGGACACCTCTCCCCAGTAACACTCCAGCAGCACAAGCACTAAATACGTCACAATGGAGCTCCTTCTATTTGGTAAAGACATAATTCCATCGAACCTGTGCGGAGCACTGATCCAACCAGAGCAATATCCGCAAAAATCAAAGCATCGAAAAAGATATGTATCAAATCCAGCTGAATTACAACACGGTAAACACCGATGTGGCCTCCGACCACCGTCTCTCTCTCTCGTCTTGCTTCTCTTTGTAACAAAGCCCCGAGAAATCTCCTCACCCTCTGAAACTGGGAGGGGCCTCCGGACTCGCAATGCCACGGTGGCAATGCCACGGTCAACAGTGGCCCCACGTGGTAATATTGGCACTTACACCACTTTAGAAAACCACATTCACCAAGACACAAAGATAAGCATGATGGGAACAATATATCCTTTCACCTGTGTAAGTTCTGTTTATATGGCAACATCTACTGAAAATACTGAGACCAAACCGTGCTCAGCTCTTCTAATAAATTAGTTCAAACAATCGGCAAAAGCGGTAAAGCATTTCAGCACCACGGACAGCGCGAACACTTTTCTCTTCAAAGAGGAACAATAGCAGCTGTTTTTACAACCTATATTGAAGTCAAATGTCTATCATTTCACTGTTCATTCAAATGGCACAACAAAACAAACAATGTCATCCAAATACATTGAGGAGCACAACAAAGCAGAAAAAAATGCTTAGTAAAGGAAAGGTGAAAAACGGATATGTGTTTTAAGTGAAACTATAGATCTTACCTTCTCTTTGTTGTGTAATGTTTGAGTCCTATTAAAGGTGTCATTTCCATTGATACTGATCAGTTCTGCATCTGCAGGTGGATACTGCGCAGGGACAACCACTACGTCACTCTTCAGTGTGTCTGAGCTGAAACACACGTCATATTGCTGAGTAGATTTAGAGTAAGACCAGCTCCCGTCAGGGTGTGTGGTGATCATTGGGGCGCTGTACCTTCTGAAACTCTCGTCTGTCCTGTGGCATTTTACAGCTATTAAACTGATGAGGCTCAGTAAAAATATCACTGACACCGAGGCAATGGCGATCAGCAAATACAGGTTTAAATCAGAGAAGCTCTCCTCCTTTCTCGGCACATTTCTGAATTGAGTCTGGATTTCACCTGTACTTTCAACCACCACTACGTCAATAGACACAGTCGCTGACAGTGAGGGTTCTCCGTTATCAGAAACCAACACGACCAACGGGTGAGTTTTCAGGTCATTGTCACTCATTCGCCTCTTGGTCCTTAGTTCCCCGGTGCTGGTTCCAATTCGGAAGAGGTTGGTTCCCTTGGGCTCAGAGATGTGATAAGAAAGCAGCGCATTGTAGCCAGAGTCGGCATCTACAGCCCTGATCTTGGCCACAAAGTAGCCCACTTCAGCAGAATAGGGAATGTTCTCAGTGTTAACGGAGCCGTGTTCAGAATAGGGCGCGAGAATCCCAGGACTGTTGTCATTTTCATCCAGGATAAAAACGTTCACAGTCACGTTGCTGCTGAGAGGAGGAACACCAGAGTCTGTGGCCTGAACTTTAAAATAGAACGTTTTGATCTCCTCATAGTTAAAAGACTGCAGACTGACTATATCTCCAGTCACTGAGTTTATATTGACTATTGTAGACAGCGGCACTGGTTTGGTGTTACTCTCTAAGAATGAGTAGGTCACCTGTCCATTTTCATTGACGTCAGAATCAAGCGCAGACACGGTTTTAATGACATCTCCTATCGGACTGTTCTCTTTCACATAAACATTAATCACGGGATCTGAGAAGCGAGGAGCGTTGTCATTCACATCAGAAACGTGTACAGTAATAACGCTGGTGCTGGAGAGAGGCGGGGTTCCTTCATCTGTAGCTGTGATGGTGACATTATACTGAGAAGCGCTCTCTCTGTCCAGAGGCCCATCAACCACTAACGAATAATAGTTTTTGTAGTTTGTCTCTAATTTAAATGGGGCCTTATTCTTGACCTCACAATGAACCACTCCATTTTTGCCACCATCTTTATCGAGGACTGACACAAGAGCAATGGCAGTGCCCACCTTAGCCTCCTCCTTTACTGTGTCTAAGAGTGATGTCACAGTGATCTCAGGGGCATTGTCGTTGTGGTCCACCACTTCTACCAACACTTTACAGTGAGCTGCCATTGGGGGCTGGCCTTTGTCACTCGCCTGCGCATGAATCTCAAAAGCAGGGCTTTCCTCAAAATCAACATTGCCTTTAACTGTGATAGTTCCCGTTTTAGAATCAATTTGAAATCTATCTAATATATGATCTTGGCCTTTAGTTCTAAGGGAGTACACTATTTCACTGTTTGTGCCCTCATCGATATCCTTTGCATTCACAGTTATTACTGTTGTTCCTATGGGCACGTTCTCGAAAACACGAGTCTTATACAAAGAGCTACTGAATATTGGACGGTTATCATTAATATCTAAAACATTTATTTTGATTTCTGACGTGCCAGACTTCGGTGGATTTCCTCCATCAACAGCGGTCATTGTGAGCTGAATAACAGGCTGTTTCTCTCGGTCTAAAGCTGTCTGCAGCACCAACTCAGCAGACACACTCTCTCCTCCTTTGTGTATATCAAGAGAAAAATATTCATTAGGACTAAGCTTGTATGTGCTAACAGTATTCTTTCCAACATCGACATCAGACGCTTCTAAAAGAGAAAATTTCGCTCCCGGTAATGTACTCTCAGCAATGTCTATACTTTGTGATTTTTCAGCAAAAGACGGAGCATTATCATTAACATCTAAAATAGTGATTTCTAGACGGTAAAGCTTCAACGGACTGTTTATAACGGCCTCTACACTGACTGTACATTTCGGAGCCTTCACACAGAGCTCCTCTCTGTCTATTCTCTCATTCACATAGAGAATGCCAGTCTTTAGATTTACCTCGAAATACTTTCTCTTGGATCCGGTGACAATCTGAAACATACGCGACTCCAAATCCTGGACATTGAGGTTTAGATCCTTAGCGATATTTCCCACAGAAGTCCCCAGGTTTACTTCCTCTGAGACGGAGTAGGAGAGCTGCCCGGACACCACTTCCCAGTAACACTCCAGCAGCACAAGCACCGAATACGTCACAATAGAGCTCCTTCTATTCTGTAAATACATAATTCCATCGAACGTGTGCCGATTATTTATCCAAAAATAGCAAAATCAGCAAAAAATCAAAGCATCAAAAAAGATATGTATCAAATCCAGCTGAATTACAACATGGTAAACACCGATGTGGCCTCCAACCACCGTCTCTCTTTCTCGTCTTGCTTCTCTTTGTAACAAAGCCCCGAGAAATCTCCTCACCCTGTGAAACTGGGAGGGGACTCGAGACTCGAATATAATATCTCAATGCCGTGGTCAACAGTGACGCCACTTGGTAATATTGGAGCGTACACCACTTTAGAAAACCACATTATTCCATGACACCCATTCACAAATATAAGCATTATGGGAACAATATAGCCTTATTTAACACTTGTGTAAATTCTACTTATACGGCAAGATTTACTGAAAATACCGAGACGAAACAGCGCTCAGAGGGGTATTCTACGAAGCAGGTTTGAGGAGTTGATGAGGTAACTTTGGCAAACTCTGAGTTCAACTCGGGATAACCGGTCATACGAAAGTGGCTCACCTTTTAGCCAGGTACATTTATATGGCAACGAATCCTTCAGATCTAACCTGCTCCGGGGCAGGCTAACTCACGGCTAACTCCACTTCCCCTGAATGAAATGACTGAGCCGCGAGTCGAGGACCAATGAAATCAGGTTCCCTCCCTCTCGCAAAGATTGCGTCATCATCCCCTTCTTTGAGGAAGACGACTGATTAAATATTTTATAAATCAAATGTTTGTTTTTTTTTCTGTTAAAAAATAGTAATGTTAAAATATATCACAATACACATTTAGTAATGACAGAATGGATTTTAAACTTCACGCACACTAACCACGTTTCCATCCAACCATTTCATTACATTACACATTGTGAAGGAGAAGTCCAGTAGCTACACGACTCAGGCTGGTTCCCACAGTAGCCCTCTACAAGATCGTAACTAGACTATTCATCAACCATCTCACTGACCACCTTCCTGATCAAGCCATGAACTGTCCCTCGCATGCACTCAAAGACTTGGCCTCTATTGGTTGAGCTAACTATAGCTAGGCTACTCATGATGTTGTATTGCTTGTTTGCTTTTTGCTTTTGAAGCGCTTTGAGATTCTTCAAATATGTACAAAAAGTATTTCAGCAGATTTCGTGCGTTTTTGTGCGTTTTTGTGTGGCTTAATTCGTGTGAAAAGACACAAATTTATGTGCGACTTAATTAGTAGTAAAATACACATTTTTGTGCGACTTCATTCATAGGAAAATATGTTTTTGGGGGGCAAACTTCAGAACAATCTTTTGAAAGTTATTTGAGCAATGTATTTTGGGCAATGGTAAATCTGCTGAAATACTTTTTGTACATATTTGCACGAATTGAGTGCGAGAATGTCACCATGAGACATCACGGAAATCGGTCTTCTCACAAAATCCTCGGTAGAGTCCGAACGGTTTGGCCGAAAAACTATTATATGACCCCTCTATAGAAAGATGAGACTCTAACGAACACGATGGTGCTCTACGTCCTCCACAAGTGTCAGGAGAATAGTCTGAAATCGGTATAGCCGATCTGCCAACTTCTGTCTGTAGCCTCTCAACTGTTTGGCCTAGACACTAACCCTCTGTGCAAAGGTGAGACTCATGAACACGTACATGTCGGTGATTTTGCTCTAGGACGCCCACAGGCCTCACAAGACTCGTCTGAAGGTCCCCAGGTACCAGTTGAAAAAATTAATAGAAGTAAATATGGAGACTGTTTAGGGCCCAAAATAAGGGGATAAATATATGTTAAAAAATATATACATATATATTTTTTTCCTGATTTCTTATATCTCTCAGATATATTCGACAGACACTTCAGAACAAACTTCCTTTTGATTTTTGGGGGCATATTTGTTGTTCCGTGTAGTGCATCTGTCATTCAATGCGTTTGTTCAGTCCCCCTCCCCCGGCTTAGACAGGGCTTGGACTCTAGGGGGTTGTATTTTTCATTCGGGACATGGGAATTTAACAGTAAAATATATTTTTATGTGCACTACATTATTACGCACAGCCTTTTTTATCCGCAAAAAGTCAGTTTGATGGAAACACATATCTAGTGGGAAAACGCTCATATTGTTTTATGCAGATTTTAGAATTTTCGCATGAAAATCAGTCACAAATTGGATGGAAACCTAGCTAGTAACGCTTTTGTATGACTTAATTACAATTATTTTATGAGTGCGAAAAAAAGGTGCTTGTGGTTGTGCATTGATAAGCACACCAAAGTCGTCATTAACTTATTTAAAGTAATAAAATAAAGACGGTTAAAAAAAAAAAAGCATATTTCACACCATAGCCTGCTGAATTTGACCTTTTCTTTCATTTTGATTTCGGCAAAAATGAAAATGTGGCTCTGACTCGCCCATGGATTGATGTTTCAGCATTGTCTCAATGAAGAGTTCGGCGTTCGACTAGCCTTGTGCGATATGCACGCGCAGTTACAAGCCTGCTACAATTAGCAGCAGGCGGACCAGCAATACCGACCGTCCTAGTACAGATGAAGACTGAGCTGGAATGTGAAGCTAACTGAATCTGGTTAGCTTTAGAAAACCCTGAGTAGATCTAGCTTGCTTCATAGGATACCCCTCAGCTCTTCTGCTAAATTATAGTTCCAACAAACGGCAAAAGAGGGTGAAACGTTTCAGCACCATAGACAGCGCGTCCAAGTTTCTCTTCAAAGTGGGAAAATAGAAAGCATGTTTTATATCTTATATAGGCAGTGATATGTCTATTATTTCACTGTTCATTCAAATAAGATAACGAAGTGAATAACAACGTTAACCAAAGACATTGAAAATCACAACAAAGCAACAAAAAAAGTTTAATAAAGGATAGAAGGAAAACTGATTTCTGTGTTAAAACTACAGTTCTTACCTTCTCTTTGTTGGGTAATGTCTGAGTCCTGTTTAACGTGTCATTTCCGTTAATACTGATCAGTTCTGCATCTGCAGGTGGATATGGAGCGGGGAAAACCACTACGTCACTCTTCATTGTGTCTGAACTGAAACACACGTCATACTGCTGAGTAGATTTAGAGTAGGACCAGCTCCCGTCAGGGTGTGTGGTGATCATTGGGGCGCTGTACCTTCTGAAACTGTCGTCTGTCCTGTGGCATTTTACAGCTATTAAACTGATGAGGCTCAGTAAAAATATCACTGACACCGAGGCAATGGCGATCAGCAAATACAGGTTTAAATCAGAGAAGCTCTCCTCCTTTCTCGGCACATTTCTGAATTGAGTCTGGATTTCACCTGTACTTTCAATCACCACTACATCAATAGACACAGTCGCTGACAGTGAGGGTTCTCCGTTATCAGAAACCAACACGACCAACGGGTGAGTTTTCAGGTCATTGTCACTCATTCGCCTCTTAGTCCTTAGTTCCCCGGTGCTGGTTCCGATTCGGAAGAGGTTGGTTCCCTTGGGCTCAGAGATGTGATAAGAAAGCAGCGCATTGTAGCCAGAGTCGGCGTCTACAGCCCTGATCTTGGCCACAAAGTAGCCCGCTTCAGCAGAATATGGAATGTTCTCAGTGTTAACGGAGCCGTGTTCAGAATAGGGCGCGAGAATCCCAGGACTGTTGTCATTCTCATCCAGGATAAAAACGTTCACAGTCACGTTGCTGCTGAGAGGAGGAACACCAGAGTCTGTGGCCTGAACTTTAAACTGTAAAGTTTTGATCTCCTCATAGTTAAAAGACTGCAGGCTGACTATATCTCCAGTATGGGAGTTTATATTTACAGATGATGATATTGAAACACTTTTATCTAATAATGAATACGTAATCTTTGCATTTTCATCTGAATCTGGATCAAAAGCAGACATCGTGTAAATGACGTCTCCTACCGGACTGTTCTCTTTCACATAAACATTAATCATGGGTTCTGAGAAGCGAGGAGCGTTGTCATTCACATCAGAAACATGTACAGTAATGACGCTGGTGCTGGAGAGAGGCGGGGTCCCTTCATCTGTAGCTGTGATGGTGACGTTGTACTGAGAAGCGCTCTCTCTGTCCAGAGGCCCATCGACCACTAACGAATAATAGTTGTTATAGTTTGTTTCCAATTTAAAAGGGATATCATTAGCAATTTCACACTTCACTCTTCCATTTTTGCCACCATCTCTATCGAGGACTGACACGAGAGCGATGGCAGTGCCCATCTTAGCCTCTTCCTTCACTGTATCTAACAGTGACGTCACAGTGAGCTCGGGGTAATTGTCGTTGAGATCCACCACTTCTACCAACACTTTACAGTGAGCTGCCATCGGGGGCTGGCCTCTGTCACTTGCTTCTGCACGGATCTCAAAGGCAGGACTTTCTTCGAAATCAATATGTCCTTTAACTGTAATAGTTCCCGTTTTAGAATCGATTTGAAATCTATCTAATATATGATCTTGGCCTTTACTTCTGAGCGAGTACACTATTTCACTGTTTATGCCTACATCGACATCAGAAGCATTCAGAGTGATTACTGTTGTCCCTATGGGCACGTTCTCGAAAAGTCGAGTCTTATACAAGGAGAGACTAAAAACCGGAGCATTATCATTTATGTCCAAAACATTTACTACAATCTCTGATGTGCCCGACCTCGGTGGGTTGCCACCATCAATGGCGGTCAGTGTGAGCTTTATAACCGACTGTTTCTCTCGGTCTAAAGCTTTCTGCAGCACTAACTCAGCAGACACACTTTCTCCTCCTTTGTGTATATCAAGAGTGAAGTACTCATTAGGGCTAAGCTTGTATGTACTAACTGTATTCTTACCCACATCCGCATCATTTGCCTCTGCTAGGGCGAATCTCAAGCCAGGTAATGTACTCTCTGCTATATTGATAGTTTGTGATTTTTCAATAAACGACGGAGCATTATCATTAACATCTAAAATAGTGATTTCTAGACGGTAAAGCTTCAATGGATTGTTTATAACGGCCTCTACACTGACTGTACATTTCGGAGCCTTCACACAGAGCTCCTCTCTGTCTATTCTCTCATTCACATACAGAACACCAGTCTTTAGATTTACCTCGAAATACTTTCTCTTGGACCCGGTGACAATCTGAAACATACGCAACTCCAAATCCTGGACATTGAGGTTTAGATCCTTAGCGATATTTCCCACAGAAGTCCCCAGGTTTACTTCCTCTGAGACGGAGTAGGAGAGCTGCCCGGACACCGCTTCCCAGTAACACTCCAGCAGCACAAGCACCGTATACGTCACAATAGAGCTCCTTCTATTCGGTAAAGACATAATTCCATCGAACGTGAGCCGCCTGTAGATCCAAAGAGATGGAATTACGTTTAAAAAATCAAGATTTTAAAGAAGGTATTTCTCAAATCCGGATGCAATTGTAGAAGGTATAAACAGACTGATCTAGCTTCCGACTATTCGTTCTCTCGTCCTGCTTCTCTTTGGAACAAAGCAGCAAGAGATGTTCTCACCATGTGAATGCGGGAGGGGCCTCTTAACGCCCGTGACCATTTCTCACACTAATGGTCAACAGTGACGCCACGTGGTGAAAAATGTGACATACCTCAATCATGAAGTGTATAAATGTAATTGCCTGCAAAACCCAGCAGATAGGGTGTATGATGCATGTTCCACTAGATAGTACGAATCCAATAACCAAATCTAAACAAATAACAACACTGAACATGAATTTCTGAAAATGGGGTGTATCCTCTAGGCAAAATGTAGTTCTAGCTTTCAGCACCATGGACAGCACCATCAGCCTACACAGTTAAAAACTCAGTCAGGCTGCTGGGAAAAACACATATCAATGTGTGTGTGTGTGTTCGCATAATCGCCAACAATTGTTACTGTATGTAGGCCATGATAATGAGTACTACACTCCACCCAACAGCAAGCATCAAACCCTTATGAATGACTTAAAAGTATATTTCTATTTTACTAGGCAAGTCAGTTAAGAACAAATTCTTATTTAGAATGACGGCCTACCCGGGGCCAATTGTGCGCCACCCTATGGGACTCCCAATCACGGCCGGATTGTGATACAGCCCTGGAATCGAACTAGGGTCAGTTGTGACGCCTCTAGCACTGAGATGCAGTGCCTTAGACCACTGCATCACTCTATAGCTCCTTCACCAAACCCTTATGAATGACTTTAAAGTATCTTTCTATCTCTCTATCTCCTTCATCAAACCCTTATGAATGACTTAAAAGTCTCCTTATATCTCTCTATCACCTTCCCCTCTTCCCTCCCTCTCTCAGGAGCTTAAGGCTGAAGTAGGAAGGTGCAGTGACATTTATCTATCTACATTCCCAGTGCCAACGATTCCATCTCTACCCAGTATAGCCAGTAAGGCACCTTGCCTTACTTTTAATGGAAGGCTGACCATAACTAACTGTTATAGCATTACTAGTGATGTTTAATACTGTAGGGTATATAGGCATAACGCTGTATGTGTCTAATTAAGAACATATATGTCAGTCTACCAGGGAGGAAAAATCGAAAAAGGCAAAGTCTAAAAATAGACAACCCCCTCCCATCTCTCCTTACTACTCTTGTGCTCCCTCTCTCTCTCTCTCTCTCTCTCTCTCTCTCTCTCTCTCTCTCTCTCTCTCTCTCTCTCTCTCTCTCTCTCTCTCTCTCTCTTTGCCCCCTCTCTCTCTCCCTTTTTATCTCTCTCTCTCTCTCTCTCTCTCTCACACACACACACACACACACACACACACACCACACACACACACACACACAGACACACACACACACCCTGATGGGCATAACTGGGCCACATTGTTTTTCTGTTCATTGATGCAGGGCCGGCTGTGCTCTGCTCTCCCACAGATTTCTGGGTATTTTAGTGTATTTTTTTGTATGTTACCCTGTATCTCCACAGAGACAGCGGCTATGAGTTTACTGACGTTTGGTTATGTATAATCCCAGGATTAGGCCCTGGGTGCAGGGGCTCCTGTCCCATTTCCATTCAGTTGGAAACATAAAACATGATTTGAAATATTAATCATCATCATATTCCGAGTCATAATCTTCTTCTCCCCATGTCCAATAGCAATAATAACTTGGCAGGTCTGACCCAATCAGAGGATTTCTAGGTCACAATAGGAGAGACCAGAGCAGCAGACGCATAACAGTATGGTCCTACACGAACAGGAATTAATCATTCTTGCACATACGTACGTACTGCCCTCTCTGTTACACACGCACACACAGACACACACACACACACACACACACTAACACACACACACACTAACACACATACACACGCACACACACACAAGGGCTGCACGATATGGGCCAAAAATCTAATTGCGTTTTTTTACCAAATATTGCGATTGCAATTTGACTTGCAATGTAGATGAAAACACTTCAGTGAACAGTTGGAATCCTAGAAATAAACTGATTTTTATTAAGTAACACATTTGAAAGCGGTGTAATTCTTGTTTGCAACAATCTGTTGACTGCATTTGACCTAACAGAACAGCATGCAAACTTCTAGTGACTCTAACAGTGAGGAGAAGGAACTGCACTGCTTGATTGGCAGGGGGCTGGGCTTGGTGTGTGTGGGAAGCAGCAACAAGAGGAGAGGGACGAACAGAGTCAACTACAGACGTTACACACTGCTGAGTGGCGGTTTAAAATATTGCATGCAATATGGATCTCTTGCGATTTGGGGTTATGGGTCAAAGTCTACTGAACAGCCTGTTGAACCCTGAACCTGGCTGAGCCAAACTCACTACAATTACAAACTACTCTAACAAACACACAGCTAAACTGAACCACGAACACACAGCTAAATTGAAATACACTACATGAACAAAAGTACGTGGACACCTGGTCATCGAACATCTCATTCCAAAATCATGGGCCTTAATACGGAGTTGGTCCCCCCTTTGCTACTGTAACAGCCTCCACTCTTCTATGGAAGGCTTTCCACTAGATGTTGGAACATTGCTGCGGGGACTTGCCACGAGAGCATTAGTGAGGTCAGGCACTGATGTTGAGCAATTAGATCAGGCTCGCAGTCGGCGTTCCAATTCATCCCAAAGGTGTTTGATGGGGTTGAGGTCCAGGCTCTGTGCAGGCCAGTCAAGTTCTTCCACACCAATCTCGACAAACCATTTCTGTATGGACCACACTTTGTGCACAGGAACTAAGAGGCCTAGCCCGAACCATGAAAAACAGCCCCAGACCATTATTCCTCCTCCACCAAACTTTACAGTTGGCACTATGCATTGGGGCAGGTAGCGTTCTGTCGGACTGCCAGGTGGTGAAGCGTTATTGATCACTCCATAGAACGCATTTCCACTGCTCCAGAGTCCAATGGCGGTGAGCTTTACACCACTCCAGCCGTTGCTTGGCATTGCCCATGGTGATCTTAGGCTTGTGTGCTCCGCCATGGAAACCCATTTCATGAAGCTCCCGACGAACAGTTATTGTGCTGACTTTGCTTCCAGAGGCAGTTTGGAACTCGGTAGTGAGTCTTGCAACCGAGGACAGGCGATTTTTACGCGCTACGTGCTTCAGCACTCAGTGGTCCCATTCTGTGAACTTGTGTGGCCTACCACTTTGCGGCTGTGCCGTTGTTGCTCCTAGACATTTCCGCTTCATAATAACAGCACTTACAGTGGACCGGGGCAGCTCTAGCAGGGCAGACATTTGACGAACTGACTCCTTGGAAAGGTGGCATCCTATGACGGTGCCACGTTGAAAGTCACTGAGCGCTTCACTAAGGCTATTATGCTGCCATTGTTTGTCTATGGAGATTGCATGTGTGCTTGATTTTATACACTTGTCAACAACGGGTGTGGCTGAAATAGCAGAATTCCACTAATTTGAAGGGGTGTCCACATACTTTTGTATATATAGTGTACGAACACAGAGCTGAACTACACTCTCTAACAAATGAAACTCAAGAAGAAGAGATGCTTTCATATCCCACACTTTCAGATGCACAGAGGGAGAAGTCCTAAAATACAATAATGAGTGTGTATTGTGGAGTTGTAGCCGTTCACCAGGGAAAAGGGATTTCATATCTACTCAGCACTTAGTGACCTATCAACATTACAATTATAGCCCTGCCTCATGGTTATTTAACTATGTCAGGGGGGTAAGTGTCTTCACATAATTTACTCAATTTATATAGTGCTTTTCAAATGATCTCAAAGCGCTTCAAAGCACAAAAAAAAGACAAGTAATTTAGAAAAACATCATAACATCATGACATCAAGACATCAAGACATCAAGACATCAAGACATCATAACATCATGACATCAAGACATCAAGACATCAAGACATCAAGACATCAAGACATCAAGACATCAAGACATCATAACATCATATAATCATGACATCATGACATC